TCAAGCAATCAAGTTCAAGTTCAAGCTCAAGAACGAAGAACAAATCAAGTTCAAGCTCAAGAACGAAGAACAAATCAAGTTCAAGCTCAAGAACGAAGAACAAATCAAGTTCAAGCTCAAGAACGAAGAACAAATCAAGGCTCAAGGAGTGCGAGTTCAAATCAAAGTTCGTGCCAGTTGAATTCAAGATCATCGTTCGTGGCAACAAACATATATTCAAGATCAAGCTCAAAGGCCCTTGAGTTTATTTACAATTGGAAAGAAGAATCAGAGGATCCATAGAGATTGTAACACTCAAATATTCGAAATAAAATACTACGATTGTTGCGATATTTTCGGTCTTGATTTTATTTTTTTGACGCAAATTTATTGTCTACAGAAACTTCGCTACGAAATTTTGTGTTTCGTTACTAAAAGTATGTGGTTCATGCATTTAAAGACGAATTATATTTTTTGTCACAAAAATTGAACAATTAGTGACGAATTTTGTGTTGTATCTAATAATTTCGTAGCTAAATATCACAATTATTGTAGTGTTTTCGGCCATCTAGGTTTGTTTAAGTATGTTTTCGGCCATCTAGGTTTGTTTAAATAGTAGGCTTTGAAGACCTTATTATACTAAAAAATATACGAAATACACAATCAAATGCTAAAAATATACGAAATACACAAACAAATACATGTATATAGATGAATAATTTCGAATTATATGGGTGTATACTACCAAAAAAAAGGAAGGAAATACATAAAAAAATAAAAGAAAAGCTTTGGAAATAGGGTTTGCAACCTTTGAGATCTTTCATATATTGGGAAGACAACTATTAAATGGTGGTAGAGAAATATTCAAAATTAATCAAAAGGGCTTTATCGGTATAGAAATACGCCTGAAACCCTAATTGGGGCGTAAAATTACCTTAATGACCCAATTTGGGTCAATCTGGCCAAAAATAGTGTGGCCAAAAGGATTTTTCCAAAAGTGAAAATCCATATTATTTAACCACAGTTAAGCAATAAATGTGTTTATAAAAGACAAATGTCTTATATTACTTGATTTGGCGTAAATATTGAATTTGAGAATTTTTTTATCTTTATGCCATTCTATCTTATAGACATAGGCAAACCCAACAATAGAGAGCAATTCTATCTAAAATTAGTGTGCTTTTGTTATATATTAATATTTGAATTTATTTTTTATATATATAAATAGTTTGAAGAAAAAATAAAGAATTTAGCAAAACTTGTCTCAAACCTCCTTTACGACTATATTATAAAGGACTAGGGGTTGTTCACCTTTGAAAAGCTAAGTACTTCGTAGAGAGTCAAAGTAAAGGAGACGACATTCTATTATACAATTACATCATTCAATATTTATTGTTAATATTAAATATTTTAATAGTAAAATTATTTTTGTTTTACTAAAATACCAACGAAAAACCTGGTTCCCTTTGTTTGAACATATTCCATTTATTTTAGTTTACATATAAATCAAAGTAAACCAAGCTTTAAAAATCATGATTGTTGTTGATATTTTTTGAGGAGCTTAACTGACAGATGGTCATAGTAGTAGGTATGACGGGACTTGGGTAATGTGGTTGTAGCCAAGGTGGCCTCTCCTAATACGACACTGTTTTTATCTTTGAATTAGATATTATTTTCTTTCACTAATTAGATAACATTTTCAAATATTTGAAGTTTGAAATTGTGACTAAATAGTATTTCTATTTTCACACTGCAAATCTCATTATTTCTTAACGACGAAGCTGTTTAAATGGGTTTAGAAGACATTCAGTAATTTAGGGATGAAATGGGAAATTAGCTACTATCTCAAAACTAATTAGTATTTAGCTACTTTATAATTAGTTGGATAAAAATACCCCTAAACTAATAAAAGAAAAGGTTATGCCCATCTTCACCGTCGTTTCGAAACTGCGGCAAAAGTTCTATGAGCTCACCTCGAAGGATCTGCTCGTTTCCCTTGCAAAGAACTAACAACATTGCCGTTATCACGATCTTTAATCATCCGCTCAATGCTCTTACTATTAAATTCATCTATATACTTACATTAATTCATTTATCCAAACGGCGTTGTGGGAATTTTCTTTCTTCCTTCTTGTTGCGATTGCTTGTTCATATATATATATATATATTCTATAATTGAGAATCCAAGTATGTGATAGTTTAAGACATGGGATGAAAGAATTATTAGTATTCATTTATGTCTTACATTAGCCTAATTTATATAGGGTATTTACATAATAGTAAATTCTTCTCCACCAATGTAGGACACTATACACACTACTGCTCTCTAACGCTCCCCTCAAGTCGATGCATATAAATCGTATGTACTGAACTTATTATATATGTAACTAATACGATGACCAGTGAAGAACTTGGTGAAATATCTGCAAGTTCATCATTTAACTTCACAAATTTTGTAATAATATCTACTAACAGCTTGTTCGGATGGTTCATGGTTGTTACGTGTCGTTTTATAATGTATCGTATTGTATTATACTGTACGTATTGTATTGTATCGTATTATTTGATGAATACAATGTTTGGATAGATTGCATCATTTGTTGTCGTTTTGTGATGTCACGCACCAACAATATAAAAAATAAAGTTGTAATATTACTAAGAAAAATAGGATATGGGGCAGAATTATTATATATGAGAAATAAGGTAATGGATAAGATATGATTATTTAATAAGTAAGGGCAAGATGAGCGAAAAAGTAAGATAACAGTGCCACCACACCAAATTCTTCGTTACATAAAGTAACACTTTTCGTCGTTACATAACGACGGATTTAACAATACTATACAATAAAAGTTGAGGAACAATCAAAACAAATATTGTATATTAAGTAACAATACATTACAATAGTAACAATCATCCAAACCAGCAGTAAGAGTATCTTCTCTATGATGAAGTGACAGTCAATCTCAATGAATTTAGTCTTCTCATGTAACACTGAATTTGACGCAATACGAAGGGCAGCTTGATTATCCCACACAAGTATCATCCGAGTGATTTCTCCAAATTTTAATTCTTTGAGCAACTATTTGATCCAAACAATCTCACATGTTACTATAGTCATTACTTGGTATTCTGCTTCTGCGCTAGATCGAGCAACCGTATTGTTTTTGCTTTTTAAAGAGACCAAATTACCTCCAACTAGAACACAACATCCATATGTAGAATGTCTATCAGAAGGTGATCCTTCCCAATCAGCATCTGTGTATCCAACAACCTACTCATGGCCTCGATCCTCGAATAGTAGTGTCTGAAGCTAATTTTATATACCGAAAAATACGAGAACAACTACATCACAATGACTATTACAGGAAGAATCCATAAAATATCTTACTACACTCACAAGAAAGAAAATATCATATCAAATCACTACGGGATAATTAAATTTCCCAACCAGTTGGCCGTATCTTGCAAGATTGCTAAGAGTCTCTATCTGTCCTGGCAGAAACTTAGCATTCGGATCCATAGGAGTATCCAGGGGTCTGCAACCCATCATTCCTGTCTCCTCAAGAATGTATAAAAATATTTTATTTATAAAATAACAATACATGGGCTTGATTGAGTAACCTCAATACATAAAAAGTACTTCAATTAGCCTAGATCCTTGGTCTAGAAGGGCTGAACTAAATGTTGTTTCGGATTAATAACACCATCCTGATCATTTCTAGTAGTAATAATATCGCCAATATAAACCACCAAATAAATACACAGATTAGGAGTAGAATGCTGATAAAACAAAGAGCAGCCAGGTTCACTACGAGTCATGTCGAACTCCTAAATAACTATGCTGAGCTTATCAAACCGGGCTCGAGGAGATTGTTTCAATCTATAAAATGTCCTACGCGATCGACATACAAGACCACGAGATTCCCCCTGAGCAATAAAACCAGGTGATTGCTCCATATAAGCTTCATCTTCCAGATCAATGTGGATAAAAGCATTCCTAATGTCCAACTGATAATTTAACACCTCGTATATTCGAGTTAGATTTGGACTCATTAGATGCTTTTGGTTAGACCCGAAGCCTGGAAATTAAGGCATATACACATGGAAAAGTCGAGCTCTAAGCGTATAACAAATTTACAATAAGATTGGAGTTGAAAAGAATCAAAATTAGCCAAGTTGAAAAATCTGGGTCAAGATGCAACAGGGATACGACCGCATATTCGACATGCGAACCACATTTCCAATTGTGTGTAGGGCCCAGAAGTCACTGAAAACGAAAGCAACATACAGACCATATACTGGACATACGGTCACATGTTGTACCGTCTGTTGACATGCGGGTCATATATTCAACATACGTGTTGTATACCAATCATATATTGGCTGTACATCGACCATATATCGATGGTATATCCACCATTGTAGGCTTCAGTAGTTGACATAAGACCAATATACAGACCGTATGTCCAGCATATGAACCATATGTCCAACATACGGACCATACGAGGTCGTCATATGTTGAAACTAATAAAAATCTATAAATGCAAGAATTTTTGGGATTTCAAATCCTATTTCATTTTGGGTGACTTTTAGAAGAGAAAGTATCCTAGGGGTTTCCCAAATTATACAAGGTTAGTTTCTACCCAAGTTATCCTTAAATTCTTGAAAATTCAGCAAAGAGCAAGTGAAGTGGAAGTTTAGGGATTTCTTCAAAGGTAAGAACTTTATTCTTCCTTAGTGATCCTAATTGACTGAGACGGGTAATGAGTGATCAAAACCTTGAATTCGTTCATATTAACTTGAACCATGAAAAATACCACTCTAGGCCTAAACCTTAGTTTCACGAAAAAGGGGGTAAGGACCTAGAGCTCAATAAAGTTTTAATCTTTATGTCACAACCCAAAACAACCAACCGGTCGTGATGACGCCTAATGCACTTGATAGGCAAGCCGAACGTAACAATAACTAATCATAATAATAGAAATGATGAAAATAATACAAGCATAAAGCCATCCACATAACATAATAGCGTCAATACGTAATAAATCCCCCAGAACTGGTAAATAAAGAGTTATGAGCTCTAAAACAAAAATACGAGTCTGAAATACAAATAACAATGATGTCTGAATGACATAGAACAATACAAAATGAAAAGAGACATTAAGACTGCGGTCGAGATGTAGTTCTACCCCGCCTCTCCAAAGATTACTTTGCAACAAGCTTCAACTACTGATGGCTCGCTCCAATACCTGGATTTACATAATTAAGTGTAGAGTGTAGTATGAGTATAACTGACTTCATGTACTCAACAAGTATGATAACTAACCTTAGCGGGATAATAGAAGCAAGAATTATAAATGATACTCGCTAATCACCTGTACAGTTAATAAATCCAACAAGTACGGAACAATAATATGATCAAGTCATGAATCACAAAACGAACCACCTTGGTGCATACAATTACTTAACGTACTATGCTCAGTCAACATTCCAGCATATAGAAGATATACAAATAAAGTAGGTAAACAACCAAGAAAATTGCAAATAAAGATGAAATGGAATAACGAAATCAAACACTGGCCAGCTTTTCCTCAGAATTTCCATAACCAAACCAAACCACTGATAAACTTTCCTCAAATAGCGTGTACACCATCAAGAAGGAACATGAGAGAGTGACCCTAGGGGGATGGATCCATATCCAGATGCTGCACGGACAACTCACGTGCTGCACGGACAACCCACGTGCTAATAATATCAAGGGCACGGATAACTCACGTGTTGCACAGATAGCTCACGTGCCAATAATATTAATATCTCAGATCTGCACAGATAGCTCACGTGCTGCACGGACAACTCACGTGCTGCATGGACAACTCACACGCCAATATCACAAACCGTCCAGTATGGTCACAAGCTCAATATCACAACCCACCTAGCGTGGTCACAGGCTCAATATCACAATCCGCTGGCATGGTCATATCAATATCACAGTCCAATCGGTGTAGTCACAAGATACCAGTCCAATCCGTATCACAGAGAAAGCATATATACAAGAATACATGTACATACTAAGGTGTATGCATGCGTAAGTGTGCTATCATAGCGCAAATACATCAAGAAAGTAGAAATTATCAGGTTCAATCAAGATATAACCTCTATATAACCTCAAACATGGCTGAAATAGCTCACAACAGGGGCACAAATATAAGAAGCATCACAGTGTTAAGCTTAGCAACCAATTCAAGGCGTATCATTGTCTAAGTACTACCCCCGAGCATGAACAATGCCCTGGTGCACGCACATGGGCACAACCCCACACATGCGCACCACCCATAGCACGTAGTTTTAACAAATAACTCAAGCAACTAGTGCCTCAACAAAGTTTAGATAAGATACTTACCTTATGCAAGCAAAATCAGTACTTTATGAATCCCTTCACACGTGAATCAACCTCCGGACGGCTCAAACCTAGCCAAAATAACTTAATATCATCAATAAAAGCAAGAAGAAACAATTCCAAATGATAAAGCTAAGATCTTGAATCAAATATGCATAGTCAAACGAAAAAGTCAACCCCGGGCCTGCACCCTAGAATCTGACAAAACTTACAAATTCCAAACACCCATTCCGATAAGAGTCCAAATATATGTGTTTCATCGAATTCCAACCTCAAATCATGAATTCTCACTCTCCAAAATTATAGTCCACCCCCCCCCCCCAAATCCCACCTTTTATTTATATAAATTAGGTGTAATAATCTATGGGTAATCACTATCTAATACTAAAATCAAGTAAGGATCATTTAAACCTTCAATTGTGACAAAAAGCCCTCCAAAAATCGCCCTTATCCGAGCTCCACAATTCCAAAAATGAAAAATAACCAAAACCCTTCGATTTTAATATTCTGCCCAGCTAAACCGCATCTGCGGGCCAAAATATCGCACCGGCGACACCGATTCTATGGTCTGATCCTCGCATATGCGAGGTACACTAAGTGCCCGACCATCCCCATCTGCGGAACACCAAGCGCATATGCGCTTCCGCTCCTGTGGACACTACATCTACGGTCCCTGCTCTCCTAGCCCAAGTTCGCTTCTAGGGCTAGACCTGACACTGAAAATATGGTTTTAACTTTCTAGATGCGCTTATTATGCAAGTGCCAATTTTTCTAAGTGTGGATATCTAGTTTCAGCATCTCCTAAAGTTTGGCTTACGTAATAGACAGGGAACTGCGTACCTTGCTCTTCTCGAACTAGTACCCCACTTACCACTATCTCGGGTACAGTAAAATATAAGTAAAGCTTTTTATCCACCTTCGTGGTGTGAAACAGAGGTGGGCTCGATAGGTATCGCTTCAATTCCTCCAATACTTGTTGGCATTCTGGGGTCCATGCGAAATTATTTTTCTTTATGAGTAAGGAAAAGAACCTGTGACTTTGATCTGATGAGCTCGAAATGAATTGACCCAAGGTGTCTATTCGTCCTGTTAGACTTTGTACGGCTTTCACGCTATCTACGATAGTGATATGTTCGATGGCCTTGATCTTGTCGGGGTTGATCTCGATTCCCCGGTTTGATACCATGAAGCCGAGGAACTTGCCCGAACCGACCCCGAAGGCACATTTTTCTGGGTTAAGCTTCATGTTGTACTTCCTCAAGGTTTTGAATGTTTCCTGCAAATGAGTTAAATGGTCCTCTGCGCGCAGGGACATAACCAATATATCGTCAATGTAAACTTTCATTGATTTACCTATCTGTTCCTCGAATATTTTGTTAACTAGGCGTTGGTATGTAGCTCCAACATTTTTTAGCCTGAAGGGTATTACATTGTAACAGTATGTTCCAAACTTAGTGATAAACGAGGTCTTCTCCTGGTCCTCCGGGTTCATTTGAATTTGATTGTACCTAGAGTAGGCATCGAGAAAGGTAAGGATCTCGTGGCCAGCCGTGGTATTGATCATGCGATCGATGTTAGGCAGTGGAAAGGAGTCTTTAGGGCATGCCTTGTTTAAATCCTAACAATCTACGCACATTCTAAGTTTGTTCCCTTTTTAGGGACTACAACTACGTTGGGTAACCACTCGGGGTATTTTACCTCCCGAATGGACCCTATTTTAAGAAAGTTTAGTTACCTCATCCTTATGAATGCATGCTTCACCTCAGACTGGGGCCTTCTTTTTTGCTTTACTGGTTTAAACCTGGGGTCGAGGCTCAGCCGGTGTGTTGTTATTGCCAGTGGGATCCTTGTCATGTCTAAATGGGACCAAGAAAAACAATCCATGTTATCGATAAGAAATTGAATGAGTTTTTTCCTGATTTTGGGGGTTAACCCCGTTCCTAAGTATATCTTTCTCTCGGGCATATACTCAATCAGTATGACCTGTTCTAGCTCCTCGACCGTTGACTTGGTTGCATCTAACTCTTCGAGAACAACGAAAGTTCGAGGAGTAAGGAAATCCTCTTCTTCTTCTTCGATTACCTATTTCTCCAATTCGGTCGAGACTGGGGACGGTGATTTCTATTTGGCCGTCTGCTTATCTTTGGTGCTCGATTTTCCCGAGGCCGAAGACTCAAGTATCGGTGTCACCTCATTGACTGCAAACATTTCCTTTGCAGCGTGTTGTTCCCCGTAAATTGTTTTCACACCATCCATTGTTGAGAATTTCATCATCTGATGAAGGGTTGAAGGTACTGCCCTCATGTTGTGGATCCATGGCCTCCTGAGTAGTGCGTTATATCTCATGTCGCCTTCAATGACACGGAATTTTGTATCTTGGACGGTCCCGACCACGTTCACTGGTAGGATTATCTCCCCCTTTGTTGTTTCACTCGCCATGTTGAAGCCGTTTAGGACGCGAGATGCAGGTACAATTTGATCCTGTAGGCCGAGCTGCTCTACGACCCTTGATTTGATTATGTTTGATGAGCTACTTGGATCCACTAGAACACGTTTAACTTGAATTTTATTTTAAAAAATAGAAATTACGAGGGCGTCATTGAGCGGCTGAGAAATGACTTCCGCTTCCTCGTCATTAAACTATAGGATGCCCTCGGGCACATAACTCCGAGTTCGTTTTTCTCTGGTAATCGACACCTTGGTACGTTTGAATATAGGCTCTTGTGGAACATCGACCACGCCTACGATCATATGTATTATATGTTGCGGCTCTTCCTGCTCATTCTTTTTATTGGTGTCTCTTTCTCTGAAGTGGTTCTTAGCTCGATCACTGAGAAAATCTTGAAGATGACCCTCGTTGAACAATCGAGCTACCTCCTCCCTCAGTTCTCTGCAGTCTTCGGTCATATGGCCATGTGTGCCATGATATTTACAAATCAAGTTTGGATTTATTTGAGAAGGATCGGTTTGTATAGGTCTAGGCCACCTGGTGTCTTTGATCCTTCCGATAGCCGATACAATCCCCGATGCATCGACATTGAAATTATACTCCGATAACCGAGGTGCTTCCACTGGATTGGTATGTTTATCAAAACCACTCTTACTCATAAGTCCCCGAGAATTTTGCCCTCGATCATTCCTTTGATCGTTCCGAGGAGGATTGCGGCTCGGGCCGTTGTTTCTTCGATCTGCGATATATGGCTAATACCGTTTCTTATTTGACCTTGGTTCCTTGTCGGTATCTCCCGGGGCCTTGACTGCTAATCTATTTGGATGAACTGAACCCGAGGGAGCTCCCAGCTGGTCATCCTTGACCCTGATCTTCGATTGGTAACGACTATGTACATCTACCCAAGTCACAGCTGGATACTCGATCAGATTTTGCTTCAACTGTCGTGACGCGATCGAACTCCGCTCGTTTAACCCCTGTTTAAAAGCTTGCACGGCCCAATCATCCGAGACCGGTGGTAATTCCATTCGCTCCATTTGAAATCAGGATAGAACTCCCTTAACAGTCCGCGAACAAGAAATCCGGGTAAGGAATTCTGTTAACCTGGGAGAAGGTGTTAGGCATTCCCGAGTTCCGTGGTTCTAGCACGGTCGCTCAACTGTTATAATTGGCTTAGTTAACTGATTTTAGAACACTTTTGAACCTATGTGCAAATTTTAACTTTTAACCGCTTTTATTCATTTTAAAGAAGATTGAACGTCGTTTAAAACATGTCTTTGGATCGCGCCACATGAAATTCACCCACAATCCTAAACACATTTTATTCAACGTTTTAAGTTTTTGATTTGGGTCACATGAAATGCACACCCGAGTTTAGGAAGGTAATATTATTAAATATACGCGCCTAAAGCAACTACGCGTTTTAACTTTGCGAGGGCCATGGAGATTCGCTAAATGGCACACCTCGATTTCTAAGGATAAACAAGATTAATTAAACGAGGGCCATGCAATTGTCATTTTTGTTTGGCATGACGCACCTCAATTGATTTTAAAAGAAAAGAATTATTTCACTAAGGCAAACTAGAGATACTCCTACTTTAATCTAATTTAAAATTAAATATCACGACCACGTCACGGGAACCGTACCCGTAGTCACGATGATGATTTATTTGGAGAAGGGACGAGCCCTTGTAATCATACATGAGAAATATTCTAATGACTATCCTTTTATGGTCTTCAGGTTATAAATATCAATCAGAAACATATTCGTTGTTTCATAATCCAATTGCCATGAATCCAATGCCAACGCACGCATTCCCTGCTTTGGAATAACCCATGTCATAACTGAAAGCAAATCACAGTAAAGTTCAACTTCCATTTTTAGATAATTAGTTATAACTTCTAATTAAGGTATTGTCACTATTGGGGGGGGGGGGGGGGGGTATCAACCGAAATTAAAGCTAAAATTAAAATAAAAGGCTCAACTAAAATGATCCACGTGTGCTAATATTGTATTTCAACATCACATATACATATTACCAGGAGAAAATACGAAGAACATGGGGCAGAGATGAGGATAACCTGGTCGTGACTAACGTCGAATGCGTTGGAACCGCAATCGAACCTCGGACGAAACTGAAACGGAGCCCCTTACACAACGACTTCCGGCGACCTCTGAGTTTACCCGGAATCTCAACAGTTTCACGAGCTTATTTTTAATCACCAACACATACGCTAGAACTCAACGAAAAGGCTCAAGCAGGACCTCTTGAAAACTATCGCAAAACGGGAACAAGGCTGGGAATCAGGTTGAGGAGGGCACGTTTCTTTTGACTGCTTTTGCTGGGTTTCGGAGCTTTAAACCTTAGCCACATGACCGATAAACATGCTGCTATACTAAGGAAATCACAGCATCTTGTTCGTTCATCATCGAGGATTCGACTCCGGCGGAACAGTGGTAGTAGAGGGGGATGAAGGCGAGACGGGGAAGCAACAACCGGCGCCGGCGATGGGGTGAGATAGAAAAAGGGAGAGAGATGGCTGGAAGGGTCTGTTGTTTGTGTTATCGGTGGCTGGTTTTTTGGAGAGTCACGGAGAAGATGATAAGGCCGTTTTGGAGGCGAGCAGCGGTGCTAGGCTATAGGGGTCTGGTGGTGTGAACGGCGGCTGACATGGAGATGGAGTTTAGGCTTTTTGGTTTTGAAGGTGATGAAATCTCATGGGGGAGGGGTCTGTCCAGTATTGCGGCTGATCTCTTTAGGTCTTTAGGCGTTGCTCTCTTATGAAGAAGGAGAAGGTGCAGCTATGGGTCTGTTATGGAGGATGGTGGGCGGCTGCTTGGTGTTCTAGGGTTTTAGGTTGCGTCCTACATGAAGAAGTAAGAAGAAGCTCGAGGTCTTGTGTTTATGGCTGAAGCTGCGTCGAAGAGAAAACGACGGGGTCCGTTTTGGGTTGATGCGTTCTTATCCGAAGATGGGGTGCGAGGAAGACGATAATACAGGGGTGGTCGTCCTTGGTGTTATGCGGCTGAAGGCTGCTTCAGCTTGGGTGAAGATGGAAGCTGAACGGAGAGGGTCGTTTTGAGAAGATGAAACCAGGGGGGTGGGTCTTTTTTCGTTCTCTGCGGCGCTTCTTTTCTATATCTCCTTTTTGCTAATTTTCAGCATTACTTTATAGGTAGAGTCTAGGTTTAGGTGTATTTTTTTGTATTTTGCCAATTAGTCCCTAGGTCTTTTTGTGTTAAGTCATTAGGGTCTTTTTTATTTGTTTTTGTTCCAAAGAAGAGTCTAGAAGGGTCCCTAGACTTAATGAACTAATACGAATTGGGCCAAGAACTGGCCTCTAAAACTCTTAAAATTGTGATCCAACACCTTAATTGACTCCTTTTAAAATAAGATAAAAATACTACACAATGCAAAATCTAACATGAAACTATTATATATTTTTTGTATTTTCAAGATTATGTAAAGATAAAAATAAGGTACTATTTTTGTATAATTCTTATTTAAATTTATGAAAGATACGTAAGCTAAAATATTTTTTGTAAATTTCCATTTTTGTGACGAAAATAAAGGAAAGAAGTCAAAAATGTCTGAAATAGCTATATTAGGCCTACATTAAATATTTACATGCTAAAATATAAAAAATCTTGGGGAGGGTCAAAAATCACATGTCTACAGCTGCCCCTCTTTGATTGGAAATACGAAGTATTTTCAGACAAAGAACGACTAGATAGGTTTTTTGACCCGACACTTATTTGGAGAGACTAAAACTAAGAGAAAAGGGGAATGTGATCGAGCCCTGGTATCTGAGCTGCCTACTTATCCTTGGCTATAAAGGAATCAGGCCACGTGTAGTTCAGAAGTGAGTGAGATGATGGAGTATGCCGAGATGGAGAGCCAGTCGAGGTGCCGTTCCGCCGAGGTTCCGGTCCGCGGTCCTGTTATTACATCAAAATCAAAAGAAATGAAAAAGACTAGCTAAGCCTGACAACTATGAGTTACAAGATTCCTATCTATAAGTCTTCTGAAGCTTGATCTTGAGTCTTGAATGGTTCTTCATGCAGACTTTAGATTTGAACCTTGGCGCTTGCTAGTTGCAGGTGCTAGTTCATCCTGCTTCGGCTTTTCGGATCAGGACCAGGCATGCAGTGTTTGTGGCCTTGGCCATGTCTTGAGCAGCCCACATCTTTCATCAACTTCTGCATTTGGATTAACTTCTTGCCTTTCTCCTTTTTCTTTCTTTATTGTGACTAACTTTTGTTGATCACCTTGGACTGTTGACTCACGTCCTCACTGCGAGCTTCTTTAGTTGCTGACTAGAATTGCATTCTGAAGTGAATTCCTTTATTTTCCAGGTAGGCGCCTGATTGCCAATACTTGAACTTCCTTCCTTCGAAACTTGAATTGTTTTCCCTTGAAACTTGAACTGTCTTCCCTTGTTCTCCAGGTGGGCGCCTGATTGCTGAAACTTTCTGTGTTCCCTTGTTTTCTATATGGATGCCTGCAATCAAAACAAACAAAACAAATGAAATTTTCTGCCCCAGTTTGCACTAGGAAGATTTGTGAGTTGTTAGCAATATTGTAAACCACTTATACTACTGATGCAATGATGAGAGTAAACTAAAGACTAGATTAGGATGTGCGTCTCCTACGAGTAAAACCAAGTAACTTTGACTAGCAAATGCGTCTGCTAAATAAAAGCTGAATGAACCAAATTAGGAAGTGCGTCTCCTAAGGGTGAATTTAAATAACCAAGACTAGGAAGTGCGTCTCCTAGGGGTGAAAACTTCAGTGACTAAAACTAGAAAGTGCGTCTCTTATGAATGAACTTTCAATTTAGGACGTGCGTCTCCTAAAAGAATAACTTAAAAGACCTTGATTAGGAAGTGCGTCTCCTACAGGTAAAACTTCAATGAACCAGACCAGGAAGTGCGTCTCCTATGAATGAATTCTAAATTTAGGAAGTGCGTCTCCTATGGGTGACACTTCAATGACTCAAACTAGGAAGTGTGTCTCCTATGAACTATCAATTTAGGAAGTGTGTCTCCTACAGGTGTAACTTCAATGACTCAAACTAGGAAGTGTGTCTCCTATGAGTGAACTCTTAATTTAGGAAGTGCGTCTCCTATGAGTAAAACTTCAATGAACCAGACTAGGAAGTGCGTCTCCTTGGGCCTAACTTAAATGACTCAAACTAGGAAGTGCGTCTCTTATGAATGAACTCTCAATTTAGGAAGTGTGTCTCCTATGGGTGAAACTTCAATGACTCAAACTAGGAAGTGCGTCTCCTATGAATGAACTCTTAATTTAGGAAGTGCGTCTCCTATGGGTGAAACTTCAATTACTCAAACTAGGAAGTGCATCTCCTAGGGGTGAAATTTCAATGACTCAAGCTAGGAAGTGTGTCTCCTATGAATGAACTCTTAATTTAGGAAGTGCGTCTCCTATGGGTGAAACTTCAATGACTCAAACTAGGAAGTGCGTCTCTTAGGGGTGAAATTTCAATGACTCAAGCTAGGAAGTGCGTCTCCTAGGAATAAACTTAAATGACCCAAAACTAGGAAGTGCGTCTCCTAGGGGTGAAACTCAATTTAGGAAGTGCGTCTCCTAAAACAAAAATATAACTTGAAAACCCCGACTAGGAA